GCTGATTAGTTAGTTTTTCCATTATTAAAGCACGCCACACTTTTTCAAAGGCCATCAGTAATTTTCCATAATTGAATGATCCCCAGTATGGCTACAGAGAAAAAAAACACACAACAACAGCAGTCCAAAGCCAATTTACCTGGTCTCTAAGCAGACTGATATGAAAATCTGATTCCTAGTCTGGAAGTAAATTACCATTCTCTTTGATTGGTTACTGAACAAGACTTTACAAGAAGTGTTGAATTTATGCCTGTTTCTATAAAACATATGTACCTCTCTTTTCACAGCTGCCTCTTGAGCAGCTTTTGCCAATTATTCCTTCCACCCTACCTGCTAAGCAAGAAGTATATTTTGTACTTTTTTTTATTCCCATACCCTTCAACTATTCCAATTTGGCAGGGACAGACCCGGTTCTATTATCTCACTTTTTCAGCTACTTTTAAAATCTCCCTGTGTCTCCCTTCTCTTCCCACCTTCCTCCTTGGTCTTCAGCTTTCTTCAATTGCTGAAAATGAATTCAAAATGCAAAAGTAGTTTGCACTCAACTCAGCAGTGAGGAGAGAACAAGAGGGGGCAGACTCTTGCCCTTCCCAGTTTGTTGTTGCCGTTATGTGTGTTCAAGTCCATGCTCACTTATGGTGATCCTAAGGCAAACCTATCATAGGATTTTCTTGGCACAACTTGTTAATTGCCTGCCTCTGAGACTGAGAGGGAGTGACTTGCCCAAGGTCACCGAGTACATTTCCATGGCCAAGTGGGGATTCGAACCCTGGCCCACCAGTGTACTAGTGCAATACTCAAACCAATACTAGTAGATTGACTGAAAGATCTGGAGCCTTCCATTCTGATGCCAGGTGGCTATTTAAAATGTGTCCCATTGTGCCATCCATTGCCACATGTTGCTCATACTGAGGTCAGAACTGGGCACCTTGTTCTGACCTCTGAGCAAAGTGATGCACTGCACTGGGCAGCACAATGAGGTGTATGTGTGAACAGCCACCTGGCATCAGAATGGATGGCCAAGGTAATACGGGGCAACTCTGGGGCTAGGATACTCTGGGCTGCCCCTGGAGTATCTTGGCCAGTGCAGACAGGACCCTAGAGCCTTAGCACACCATACAAACAATTGCACTATGCTGGCTTTCTCAAAATTGTGTAAGTTTTTACAAAAACAACACTGATCCTTAAAGAATAGCACAATCATCCCTCCATATCCATGGATTTTTTAATCCATGGATTCAAGCCTCTACAGCTTGAAACTATTTTTAAAATATATACATTTTAAAAAGCAAATCTTGGTTTGCCATTTTATATAAGGGACACCATCTTACTATGCTATTATATTTAACAGGACTTGAGTATCCACTAATTTTAGTATCCACAGGAGGTCCTAGAACCAAATCCCAGCAGATACCCAGGGCCACCATATTTTACTTCACTCTTAGCACAAAAGTAGCCTGAATCCAAGGAGCTTCTTAGGGCCTTTGCAGACTGCCAGAAATAGTGCAAATTGAGTCCACTTTAAGGGTTAGGGTTATGGGAATTTTTTTTTCTGAGACATTGAGCCTTCTCTGTCAGAGAGCTCTGGTGCCACAATAAAATACAGTTCCCATGATTCCCTAACCCTAACCCTAACCCTAAAAGTGGTCTTATTCTGGTGTGGTGGGAGATTTATTTTAATGGCAGCCCTCCTGTGCCACTTCTCAATATGTTTAAAGTTCCTTTCAGGGATCCCTGCCATTTGAGGAAAGCAAAACCTAATCTCACTCTGATCCTAGCCTTGGTCTTCTAGAGCAAGTTTCATGATTCTTGCAATTCCCTACTTTTGTCCCCCAATTTATTTGTGGGAATAGCCCTTGAGTTTACCCCAGGAAAATTAATACTGATGCATCTTTTCAAATGACAAATTGCAAAGGTAACCATGAGAAAGTGTAAAAATGAGGGTTTGTTATTCTTTTTCACTGAACTTTCTGTATTAATAGAAATGATCTATAATAGAATGTGGGCTGGGAGTGTTACAATACATACTTTGTGTAACTTGGGGGGAGCTATTTTTAAAGGTTACTTGTTATATTGAGCAGATTTCAAAGCCAAATGAGGTGAATTTGGTAGCATTAACTTACAAAACAAAGCCAATACTTTGTTTTGTGTTGTTTTTTGTTTGTCTTGGGAAACACAATTTGAAAAATTCCCTCAAAATGCCTAAAATTAGTACAAAGTAACAAGAAAATGTTACTGCTTCTTCTGCCCATCCAAAGTAACATTGTTCCTACCCATTATCTTACTTTTAAAATGTAACATTTTTCTACTCTTCATGGCAAACAGAAAGTAACAGGTAACCATATTACTTCCTAGCTCTGGGTTATATTAATAGAAAGAAAGAAAGAAAGAATAAAACAAGAGTTTAAAAAGTGTTTTTAAAAGAAGTTAAACACTCTTTAAGGATGCAGTCCCCTACTTTATTGCATATGTTTGTAAGCCATATGACATTCAGGAGCCCAAGATTAAGGAACAGGATTTCTAGCTTTCTAACCCATGAGTTATAGATAGGGAATCTCCTTCATGCTTGAAGCAAAAGAAAAAAAGAAGGAAAAATAAAAAAGGACCCTCTTTCCCATTGATCACCTCCCCTGGTTTGTTGTTTGTGTGCGTGCGCTGACTTATGTTAACTCCATGGATTTCACAGGATTTTCTTAGGACGTTATCACACGGGGGCAAATCTGCTGGTTAATCCACACAAATCCCAAACAGAAACTGGATTTGTGCCTTGCGTTTTCACATGACGTCGCACAGAAACTGGACAGAAAGTAGACAGAAACTTGTGTTAACCGAGATCTTTTGAAATTCGGTTGTTTGGAGGAAATGCAAACCATAATGTGAAAAGCAAATGCGAATTTGCGAGCATTTCCCTGCTTTTCCCATTGTTCCAGCGAGCATTCCTCTATCTGCACATGTGCAAGAAGATCATTTCTAGTACATTTACGGGCTTTTCTCGCTTGTGTGTGAACGTTAAATGCGCTTACTGTAAATTTGCAATTAAGGTAATTACGTGTGAAAGCCATTTGCGGAATCAAGGTTTATTTTCAGTTTATTTTCAGAATGCCTCATTTCCACTTTATTATCGCTTTCTGGCCCACGTGTGATAACATCCTTAGAGCATGAGAGCACTTACTTCCTCTGAAATATAGCCTACAACACTTAGTATTCATTGGTAGTTCCCTCATCCAACTATTTACTAGGGCTGACCCTGCTTAGCTTCTAAGAACAATTGGGATCTGGTGCCAGTTTAGGGTATTGAGGTAGGTAGCCAAATAATGTTGCTGCAGTCATATAAACATTGCTGAAAATGTCTGTTCACAAAACAAAACAGCCACAAGTGCTATTCATGTGGTTATGTGACCAGACCAATGCTTCTCTGAGGGACATACTTCTGGACTCAGAACCACACCTCCAATTAATTTTTAAGGCACAAACTTTAAATCCTCACCAAAATGAAGTCTTGACTTAATAGCAACACTTTCAGGTTCTATTCCTTTAAGTCCTAAAGCTATGGCCTCTCTCACAGAATAACACCCCAGTGTATGTCTGGAGGAGAAGAAAGAGATTTCCTGAAACAAAAGCCCCCAGAGGAGAGTTTAAGTGGAGAGCAATCGATAGTCAAGCTTCCGAGAGCCTCTCAGATCCTCCAGCTCAGCTATAATGGAGGGCTGACCTCATTGCTAACAATTCAGATAGATACCAGACCCAAGGGCACCTAGCGGCTCCAGTGGCAGAAGAACTTGGGTATCTGTTTCCCCACATCTCTGTTACTCAGCAGCTAAGGCATCTCACATCCCTAGGAAGCAGACAGGAAGAATGCTGTGCTCAGAGGTGATGCGATACATCTCGAAAGAAGGCAAGGACGATGCTGACAGTCACCTTGTGGCAGCAGTCAAGATGGTTGACACGCAGGCTGCTGAGATGACGTGGCATTGAGGCTACCAGGCCTGAAATAGTGTTCTAGAGCATTTGCTCCCAAAGCTGGAGTTTTCTTTCCAGCATCCCCCCCCCAC